ATAGTATGACTCTTTTCTTAATAGTAAAGTACAGATAACAGAAGTTAACAAAACTTTTCTTCCACGGTCTTCCACCATTAAGGCCAATGTTGCTGTTCCCCTATACTTTTTACTTTTCATACTGATGACTGTCACACAAAATCTAAAAAATATATATTATATTATGTTTTAATATCTTTTATTACCTCTGGCAGTCCTGAGATGCACTAACACTGTGTGCAGTAAAGTGAATGATGTGGTAAAATGCTCTTAAGATGAATGAAAATAAAACAGTAGAGAATGCATTTGGTTCACCATTGAATATTGATAAAGATTCCAGCAGGTTGCAGGTTGTTTCATATAAATACTTGGGTGTAATTATAGATCATTTGTTATCTTGAAAAAATCATATTGGAAATGTTTGTTAGAGGACAAAGCAAAATGTATTTGTGTCTTAAGTCTTTTGGAGCAAGTAGCAAATTACGTTCTTTTATAAAAAAAATTATGATTATGAGTGTTCTGCAATGCAAAAGTGTTTTCCACCACCCTAAGGTCGAAGTTATTTAATTAAATAAGAATGTCTTCAAAGATAATTAAGTCTGGCAAACAGTATTATTACTAATCATATCCAGCATAACACAGTGTGAATATACAGTCATGTGAAAAGTTAGGACACTCCACTGAATTCCTTGGTTTTCTTAGTAAAAGGGCATAGTAAAAAAATCATCTGGTCTTTGGCAGGTCTTAAAATTTGGAAAATAAATCCTCAGATGAACAACATCACATGACATATTGCTCCATGTCATTATTTATTTAACAAAAATAAAGCCAAGATGGAAAATCCATGTGTGACAAACTTAGGACACCCTATGATTCAGTTGCCTGTAGATCCACTTTTAGCGGCAATAACGTGAAGTAATCATTTTCTGTATGACTTTATCAGTCTCTCACATCGTTCTTGAGGAATTTTGTCCCACTCTTCTTTACAACATTGCTCCAGTTTATTGAGGCTTGTGGGTATTTGTTTATGCTCAGTTCTCACCAAAGCATTTCAGTCAGGATGAGCTCTGGACTTTGACAGGGCTATTGCAACACCTTGATTATTTTCCGCTATTCTGTTGTAGATTTGCTGGTGTGCTTGGGATCATTGTACTGTTGCATGACCCTGTTTTGGCCAAGTGTTAGCTGTCAGATCACATGGCATCACATTTGACTCTAGAATACTTTGGTATACAGAGGAGTTCATGGTCGACTCAATGACTGTGAGGTGGCCAGGTCCTGTGGCTACAAAACAAGCCCAAAATCATCAGCCCCCCATCAGCATGTGTGACTTTTGCTATGAGGAGTTTGTGCTGATATGCTCTTAAGGATTTCACCAATCGTGATGCTGTGAATTATGGGCAAACATCTCCACTTTGGTCTTGTATGTTCAAAGGACATTGTTCTAGAAGTCTTATGGTTTGTTTAGATGCAACTTTGCAATCCTAAAATGTGCTGCCATGTTTTTCTTTTTTTAGATAGAAGAGGCTTTCTTTTGGCAAGCCTTCCAAACATGCCATACTTGTCCCATATTTTTCTAATTGTACTGTCATGAACATTATCATTGAACATGTTAACTGAGGCCTGTAGAGTCTGCGGTGAAGTTCTTGGCTTTTCTGCTATTTCTCTGAGCATTACATGGTCTGATCTTGGGGTGAATTTGCTGGGATATCCACTCCTGGGAGGATTGGGGTCTGTTTGAATGTCTTCCACTTGTGAATTATCTTCATCACTGTGGAATGATGGACTTCAATTTGTTTGTAAATGGCAGTATTACTGTTCCCAGATTGATGGCAGCAACAAGATCTTTCTAAGATCATTGCTGATGTCTTTCCTTCTTGGCATTGTGTTAACACACACCTGAAGGCTCCAGACCAGCAAACTGCCAAAACCTCTGCTTTTATAGAGGTGCTTACACTTGCTGATGATCAGTTAATCAAAGGAATTTGATTAGCAGTGCCTGACTGCTACTTACCCTCTTAATTCCTATGTTAACAGTAAGGGTGTTCTAACGTTGTCACACATGGCTTTTCCATTTTGGCATTATTTTTGGTAAATAAATAATTACACAGTGCAATATGTCTTGTGTTGTTGTTCATCAGAGGGTTTCGTTTTCAAAATTTAAGACCTGCCAAGACCAGATTTTTTTTTTTACTCTGCCGTGACACAGAAAACCATGGAATTCATTAGGGTGTCCTAACTTTTTTACATGACTGTCCATTGTTACCGTCAAATCGGAGATACTGTGATGTAAGAAAAATGTCTGAAAATAAAGTGTTTATCTATCTAGCAATCTAAACAAACATAAAATCTCTTATTTTATTCAGAAAATGTATACATTAAATTGTATTCATATTTAGAATATGTTTACATGTCTGCTTACATTTGTGTTGTTTTATGTTTGTTTTGTTTTATGTGATTTTTATATGTTTTATATCCATCGGATAAACAAAATTTGAACTGAATTAAGATGGATGATGGCACTATTGTTTCTGTAGGGCTGCTTTACAGCTGAATCGCATCTTGCAACATCACCACTGGTCTTGAACTGAACTGAATCAACACTGAACTCACTCGAGATGAATAACAACACTACTGCCTTTTGTAGAATTGCTGATTGATTAACTTGAAAGTTTTACTGAAACTGACTTGAGCTAAACAATGAAACTATTGTTTTTTTTAGAGCTGCTAAATCGGAACTGTCTCCATACCTGAGTTTCCATTATGGATTCTGTTACTTCCTGTTCATTTCTGTGAAGCTGCTTTGACACAAAATGTATTGTGCAAAACATGATAAAAATAAAGGTGACCTGGTTTGACTTGAAACACCCTGGATGGATGGCAAGCTCATAACAGTGTTTTATATTATACATTCTGGCTGGAGTTTGCATGTTCTCCCCGTGTTGGCATGGGTTTCCTCCAGAAGCTCTTGATTTCTCCTACAATCCAAAGACATGCAGGATAGGTGAACTGGAGGCAAGAAATTTCCAGAGAGTGTGAATGTGCATTCATCCATGTTTCCCTGGATTATGTGCTGAGAAACAGGAATAGGCTCCAGCATCCCTGCGACATAGTACAAGAAGTTTGGAGGTTTTTTTATTTCTTACAAGTTTTATTTATCCCTTCATGGTCCCCGGCAGGACTTTTAAGGATCCCCAGATGAATGCTCTGGCATTAAATGATGATGTTTCAAAATTAATCCATTTAAATGTGCATGTAGAATCACTAAATTTGACTTCTCAGGGAATCACAACATAATCATCATTGGAAACGTCAAGTGTTGGCATTACGACTAACATTTCTCATGGGGAGAGTACCTTTGATGTACTGAGATGCAGCACAAATGAAAGATAAGCTGTTACTCTGGATCGATCATGTCCTGGCATTCTGACAGCCCATTGAAATTATGCCAGAGAATTATCTGTTTACAGGCTGGGATTTGTTTAATAGGCCATCATCACATTAAGAGAATAAAATCAAATTACATGCCATGCTGCTGAACGATTATCATAATACTGAAAAGATTGATTATAATAAAATGAGCAATACTGCTAATAATGACTTCAATGCAGCAACATAACAGAATCACATTATCATTATTGGTGACAAAGCAAAAACAACTAAGCAAATGATTTCATATATGCAGCACTAACTGCCCAGAGAAAATCCTACACCATTTTAGTTTTATTTCTCTTGTTGTTGACAGAATTTCGTGTCATTACGCTTACCAAATCTGCTGCCAAAATCCTGATTTATGCCAAGATTAATTGTGAGCATTTTGTCCAGAGATGACAGCAAAAACAGCTGCTATAATCACTGTTCGGTATGAGAGAGCCAGACGGGATGGACATGTGCTGGGAAGTGCCAATGTCATATTGCTTACAGATCCACATTCTGTCACAGAGAATATGCCTAAATGTCTCAAATGGTAATACATGTTGATTACATTGACACAGTTCATTAACATGAAACTAAAACAACACAATTTAAACAAATGAAAATATGAAAAGTTCCACAAAAATGCCAGACTCCCAAGAACCTGTACACAAAGCATGCACGTCTGTCACCAAGATTGATACGCTGGCCTAAAGGCAAAATCTAAATAAATACTCATAGCGAATCAATAATGTTCATAAGATACAATGCAAACCTGACTGCTCTTGTATACTGTGGCAAGGAGGAGGTAGCCTCTTCAAGACCAGAGAGGATCATTCATAAAACATGACCATCTAAAAATAAAATCCTCTTTTTTATCATGACTACATTCCAATCTGGGCCACTGCTTTGGTTGTGTGTGTCGATATATGTCAGATTTGATACATCTGAACCATATCAGAGGCTGATTCATTGAGTGTTTGTGGTGTCAGACAACCTTAATTGTGCGTTCTGGGATAGAAAAACATTAATACGTGAGAATATTAATACATTAACTTGGTTTAGGTTATTTCACTGTTGATTTTTTATGCATGCAGCATTTAGCAACAAATGCACAAATAAATGTGCAATTTTTGTATTATAAAATATAGTAAATTATATATACACACACACACACACCCACCCATAGGGTTGAACATTAAACTCCTGGATTAACACCGAGAACTTTGTGCAGCCGCATCTCAAGATCAGGTTCTGGGTGGCTTTACATAATGCCCCCTCAGTTGAGCTTCCACGTGAACAGCCACTACAACTTCTTGGTGGCGGATTGGTAAGTCAAAGCAGGTGTAGTCATACTCGTGAATGTTTCATTTGGATTGAAAAGCAAAGCAATGTTAAATCATAACATGTCCCGCATTAACTTGTCAGAAGAATCAGAATCAGAATGAGTTTTTATTGCCAGGTATGTAAGAGCCCATTTCCTCATATGGACCCTTGTTTATACCACTTGCCTGCTTGAGTTAGTGAGTCTCCTTTAAGATAGTGTCAAGTCTCACCTTCCCAACCCTGAGCTGAAAGGTAGCTCGGTCCATGATTGGGCGGTCAAGGGTAGGGTCTATAATCACGTGACATTCTTCCAACCCTGGGACGCCATTTTGGAGGAAAGTTTGGAATTTCTGACACATAGGAAGGAAAAAAAAGAGGAGGAGATAACGAAAGAAGTTTGACGTTTAGGAAAACAATCCTCATTGCACCGAAGGCAAAGAAGAATGTAGCAAACTGTGGACGTGAGGATTTGAATCGCTTGTGTTCACACTGAGCCCTTGCAAGCGCACGGCAGGGAGGTGTATATTTGCAGTTTGGGGAGTTTTTGGAAGCCCTCCTGCAACTGGCGGCGACATATGTTCAGTTTCCCCCCCGCAGACGCGGAGCAGATTGGCGGTGGAGGCTGAGTCGTAGCGTCTGTGTGTCTTTTGAATGGAAGCGCAGGGCTGTCAGTAGAGTAAAGCTCAATTCTGTGGTGTCGTGCGACTGTCAGGTCGAAGAAGTGCAGCTCTCGCTCTACTCTAAAACCCAACGGCTCATTTTCATATCAGCCTGAACCATCCCCATGTTTACCGGATAAACATTTGAGTTTCATGCCAACTGCGTCTGACTTGCTCCTCTTAGACACTCTGGACGGACTCGTGTTGGGTGAGGAGCGTTTTAATATCGCGTGTAGCCTATTGTTAATTTCGGTCGCGAGCTCTGCTGGATTTGTTATCGTGCAAGAGCCCAAGCGAAACATGCCAGTAAGGAAAAAAGGTGAGATAAACGTGAGAAAACTCTCATTAAAACGCGGATATACTTTTATACAGTCTGGCATTGTAGTTGGTAACTCACTACTCACTCACGGCTTATCTGAACAATTTCACACTGTAAAAATGTAAGATATTGTCGTTTATCGAGCTTTATCTCAAGGTAACTGAATATAAACTCGACTTTTTTTTTTTGGGAAATGAGGACTGTCATTTTTGTTTCGTCCAGTCTACACTACATAGGTTTTAAAACTTACAGTAAAGTCATTTATGCCTTATTTAAGCTTTATTTACGCATGACGTAGAAACGAGTTTGAGATATTTCGCGTTATGCTGTCTGCTGCAGTATTGTGTTATTATGTAATTCATAAACTTTCCGTCTGCCCTGTATAGATGCACAGAGGGCTCTTTTACTGCTGGAGGAATACCGGTCAAAACTCAGTAACACTGAAGACAGACAGCTGAGAATCTCCATCCAGAGAGTCATTGACATCTTCCAGAGTAACCTCTTCCAAGCGCTTATAGGTACTACAATGTGTCATTCAGCACTGGCCTAGTAATAATGAAAGTACTGTGTCATGCTGTGAGAGCTACTATTTATCGCCATGAGTTGCTTGAAATCTATCTATCTATCTATCTATCTATCTATCTATCTATCTATCTATCTAATGTTACTTTAAATTTCGTTTTTACATATAGGGTGACACAAGACAAGTGACTAAACTTGTTGTGAGCACTGTAGGAAATAATCAGTATCAGTTTTTCATTCATGGGGTGTCTGAGGAGGTTGTGACATTTTCCCTCCAAATGTTTGGTGGGTGCTTGTTGTTGCACAGTGGTGTTGAGTAGTTAAAAGCCAATCGGGTATGTGTTACTCAAGCTATACTGACATTTAGTTACCATTGCCTCCACTTTCAGAGGGGCGAGAACTTACCGACATCTAGGTGACCATGATACTAAAGCATTTAACTTTGTTTCTTGACTTTAACAGCTTTCCTGTCTATTCATATATTGTCTAAACAGTACCTGAAGCACTGCTGTCAATGGTAAATTTGGAATAAATACTTTGAAGCTGTGTTCATATTTATGTTAAGTATAAACAATCATCTAAAATATGATTTTAGGATGTTCTTGTATAATTAAATCTTATCTGAATTGTTTGATTGAGGAGCTGCAATATAGTGTTTCTTAATTCTCTTAGGCCAGCCATTGCAAACTAGGCGAGAAAGGCAACCACGAGGAATGCTGAACAGCCTGTTTGAGTTTCTCAGGGGTTTGACTGGCCATGTGCCAGTGACTCTCTGTGTTTGACACTCAAGGTGTGGAGGCTTCCTTTAATAACATCATCCTCTGCTTCCTATTCTTTAGAAAAAAAAACATGGAAGCTTTTGCTTTAGTGGCTGAAAGTGAAGAGTATTAGTTAAGGTATGCTTTGTTACATGTTTTAGATTTGTCTACTGAAATGGTCACATGTTTTAGGACAAAGTCTGGTATGCTTCCTCTTTGTGAATGATTTCACTTATGTGTCTTGCATTCAGTTTGAAAAGCCAGTTTGTAATGTACTCGTTTTGTAAAAAGCAGAAAAACTTAGTAATAGATGAGGGAATGTAACAGATATTTTAATTGCATATCACAAGACGACAAGCTGTAAATATTTGCTTCCATTGTCCAGGCCAAAGTGCTACGCAGTATTGTGTGTCTCAGCACTGTTCTCAGAAAACCATCTTACCCTGAGCTGCCATGATGAATGTTTGTGCTCAGCATTGCTAAGTTCATACACCATACATGTGCAATCACTCTCATGCATAGCGTCATTCACGTTCACACAGTCGCGTGCAGAAATCCCTCTTCTCATATATGTCCCACATGCACGTGTTCTTAAGAGCGCCGCTAATGAAAAATGCATTGGAGTGACCGTTTCCAATTTGACTTTTCTTCAGATATGTATTCTAAAGGACAAACAAAATGTAATCCGTCTGTTGACATGATTACCCTAGTCCTAATCTGTAGGCTGATGATTTATGATGGTTTCTCTGAGAGAGAGCATCGCTGCTGACTCGGTGCATGTATCTCAACGATTAAAGCCTTAAGATCCCTCCCTGCAGAGAAGAAGAGTTAACCAGAGCAGGGCAGGTCTCCTCCTGCATGCAAAATGTGGGTCACAAGATAGACCAGGTTTACCCTTGACAGAACCTACCTGCCTCGTGAGTTCCTAGGTAATTGTTTTGAAAATGAGACTAAAGATGAAATGACATTATCTAAAGTAGATAATGGCCAGGTTTTATTCACACACGGAAGAACCTTTTTTAAAAAGCTCTTAGTGCTTCATAAAGAGCTGGAGTGGTGAATTTGATATCACGCAGGCAGGCAGGCAGGCAGGCAGGCCAATATCTTTTCCTAATCTTTATTCAGAGGTCCTGTCTGAAACAGAATATGTAATGGATTAAAATCACTTCCTCAAGTAGATAGAAAGCATCTCCTAAAGCACATTGTAATCATTTTGGCGAGCATCAAACCAGCTAAAAAAAACATCAACTGAGCTATATTATAGTTTTTAATTATTTCCTCATGTGCTGATTGTGGTGCTGTAAATGATTGTAATTTCCGAAGTTGATCATCACAATAATTGTATTAATTATCTACAGAAAGCATTAGCATTCCAAAGTCTCTAAATGAGCCATCAGATAATGAAGACATGTGTCTGAGTTAAAGAGATTCGGCAGGCTTGGTGAAGTGCGGAAATTCTATCCTGTGGCTGCAGAGGTCTGTTAATCGGACGTCAATACAGCACACTGTTTAAGGGCTGCCTTACCACAGATCTCATTCCGCAGAGACAAAAGTGAACATGAGACTCAGAGAAACCTGGGAATCGGCTGATAGTTACACCTCTGTTTTGACTGGCTCAACAGAGAGGGTTCGTCTCCGATAAACTGTAACAGTCGTCTCCGCTATGGAATAGGGCTGGGCGATATGGGCAAAAATTCTTATCTCTGTATTTAAAAAAAAAAAACATTTATATCACGGTATTTTTCAAAATTATACTGGTTTCACGGTACATGATGGTATTTTTTTCCATGCATGACCGGGTGTTAACCATATTTTCTACTGATTGAGAGAGGAAATACTGCAGTATATTGACTTAGAATGCCCTATTTTACTGTCATGATGAGTGAATATTGTCAAAAAATACCACACTAAATAGTGACTAAACACAACCCCTTTTAATACATGTTAACCAGGAGTCACTCTCATTTATAATCGCGGCATCGTCTGATAAAATCAACATGCATCTACACTAAAGATACGGTTGTTTTGGCTATATTACTACTTTTTCTCATGCAGCGCAATGCCTGCGTCTGAGTAACAAACTAAAAAAAACAACAAAGAAAAAAGTGCATGTGCTATTAACAGACAAACTACGTTCATATTTATAATTCCAAACAATCAGTAAGCGACAGGTGCTAGGAAACGCTGTTTTGTACTCATTTATTGACGAGTCGGCTGCGGTGCAGCCAACTGAATGCGCTGCTTCTCTGCCGCTCACTGCACAAAACAGACGCCGAGAGAGGTGACACTTCTCCTGGAAAGTCAGACCTCACGTTCATGGGACAGCACTGGTGAAATCTTACAACTGAACCATAGCTAAGGTTTATCCAAAAAAGTCGCTAGGTTTGTCAGTATGAATATTCTATGGAAAAAAGCCGCTAAAAGGGTCTGAAAGTTGCTAAATCTAGTGCTAAAGTCGCGCTTGTGTGTGTGTGAGACGCGGGAGCTGATGGCAGGGGCGGTGGATATTTGTGGCAGTCAATGTGGATATTGTGGATGAGTTCTTCTTTGTCATCACGTTCTATTAGTTCTACAGCTTCAGTTTCGGAACTTTCACGCTTAGTAACACATACAGCTGTTCCCTCACCACAGTGAAAAGGGACCCCTTTCAAACAGTGTCGCGTTCCGAACGTTGTTTAAGCGACATATTGTGGTATTTAAAAAATTCATATCATAACAAAAATAAACACCGGTTGAACCGGTATACCGCCCAGCACTAAATGTAACCATGTAAGCCTTTATATTTTGTGCAAAAAAGGGTTAAAATCACATTTCATTCTAACATTGCAATCTAAAAACAAAAATAAGGCTTTTAAAGCAGAAGTTAAATTCACTAAACTAAAAATGAAAATAAATAACAAAAGCACAGAGTTGTTAGGCTATTTTGATTACCCCTTTACAGTCAGTGCTATCATAAAAACAGACTTACTTGCAGGTTTAAAATTCTACATGTCACATTTATTGTCCAACTACAAATATTTCAGCGAAATGTATATTTTAGTCAGAATTATTGCTCTCCTATTTAACTGAGCTCTGTCTGTTTGGCGTGCATGCGTGCGGCGGCGCTCGTTCACTGAAGTCTGAAGTTTAGCTGAGAATCCCAAAGCAGAAGGCTCCTGCACTTCTGACAGAAAATTTGAAATATTTCCATGACTTTAACATTTACAGATGGAGAATATACCTGTGAAATGTAAGTTATGCATTCAGGAAGACATCACATGCCAAACACATTAAACAGCGCGAGTAGCCTAGTGTCTCTGTCAGCAGCACATGCAGCCTTTCTGTCAGAGCATATGACGGGCCAAGCTGCTTAAACTAATATGCGAAACTAAACTATGTCTTACCATGTCTTGTTTTTAAATGCCTTAATGTGAAGTTTGTTGACTTGTGCCGGTATTCGGTACTGCGATATATCACGGTAATGAATATGCACGATATTGTTATCGTGGGCTCTTCTAAATACCGTGAATAATTATATATAACAAATTATTCAGAATTTTGAATGCATTTTAAGAATACTTTTTCCATCAACTGGTCAAAATGCACAACACAGCTATATGCTGCGTGAAAGACGCCTGCGCACTCTGATGTAAATAAGCGTGGATGAGAAGCACATGGCGGAACATGTGAGAGACGCTCTGGATGAGTGGGCTCTTCTAAATACCGTGAATAATTATATATAACAAATTATTCAGAATTTTGAATGCATTTTAAGAATACTTTTTCCATCAACTGGTCAAAATGCACAACACAGCTATATGCTGCGTGAAAGACGCCTGCACACTCTGATGTAAATAAGCGTGGATGAGAAGCACATTGCGGAACATGTGAGAGACGCTCTGGATGAAAGCGCACTGTCAGTCTCTGACAGCAGATGGCGCTGAACTGCAGAAATAATAATAATAATAATTCATTTAAATGCAGCCATTACCCCGGAAACCCTGTAAATAAAGCAGCTGCACTACTTTCTGTTTCTGAATCGTGTTTAAATGATCTAAACAGCCATTCAGATTTGTGTATTTGCTATGATGTTTATCACAGCGCCAAATAGTTAAATATTTAGACTTAATAGGCTATTTATTTTCAAACTTTTTTTACATTTTAATCTGGACTACAACATGCCCTAGATATTGTTTGAAAGTGTTTTGATTCTTTATTGTTCGGTCACACTTTACATTAGGGCTTCATTAGTTAACATT